CTTTCTTTCTTTCTTTCTTTTTTGTGGATGTATCTTTACCTGGATTTGGTATTAGAGTGATGCTGGGTTCATAGAAGGAGTTTGGAAGTTCTCCCTACATTTCTATCTTTTTGAATAAATTAAGTAGTATTGGATGTAGATCCTCTTTAAATGTCTGGTAGAATCCTGCTGTAAATCCATCTGGGCCTGGGCTTTTTTTAGTTGGGAGGTTTTGTATTACTGTTTCAATTTCTTTATATCTTATGGGTCTGTTTAAATTGTTGATATCTTCCTGGTTTGTTTAAACTGTTGATATCTTCTTGGTTTAACTTTGGTGGTTCCCATGATTTTAGATATCCATCCATTGCTTTTAGATTTTTCAAATTTAGTAGAGCATAGGTTTTCCCATGCCTTTAGGTACCCGTCCATTCCTTTTAGGTTTTCAAATTTAGTAGCATATAGGTTTTTAAAGTATTCCTTTATAATGTTTTGGATCTCTTTGGTGTCTGTTGTGATGTTTCCCCTTTCATCTCTGATTTTGTTGATTTGGAGATGCTCTTTCTTTCTTTTGGTTAACTGGGATAGTGGTCTATCAATCTTGTTTATCTTTTTATAGAACCAGCTCTTGGATTCGTTGATTCTTTGTATTGTTTGCTTTGTTTCCATTTCATTAATTTCTGCTCTGATATTTGTTATTTCTTCTTGTCTTCTGGTTTGAGTTTCATTTGTTGTTGCTTTTCAAGTGTCTTGATTTTGAATGTTAAGTCATTAATTTGGGTTCTTTCTGATTTTTTAATGTAGGCACTTAGAGCTCTAAACTTCCCTCGAAGGACTGCTTTCAATGTGCCCCAGAGGTTTTGTTGCATTATATTGTCCTTTTTGTTTAGTTCCAGGAATTATTTCTTTCTTAATTTCTCCTTTGACCCCTTCATCATTCAGGAGAGTATTGTTTAATCTTGATGTGTTAATGTGGATACTGGGGTGCCGTCCAGCATTGATTTTAACCTTTATTGCATTTTGGTCTGATAAAATGCATGTAATTCTGTCAGTCTTTTTGTATTTATTGAGGTTTGTTTTGTGCCCCAGTACATGATTGATTTTGGAAACGGTTCCATGGGGCTCTGAATAGAAAGTATATTCAGTAGATGTCTGTTAGGTCCATATGATATATGGTGTTTTTTAATTCAGATGACTCTCTGTTAATTCTCTGTCCTGTTGACCTATCTAATAGAGACAGAGGGGTGTTGAAGTCCCCTACTATTAATGAGTTGGGATTAATCTAGGTCTTAAAATCCTGTAGTATTATTTTTATGAAGTTGGTTGCAGCAGAGTTTGGTGAATACATGTTCATGTTTGTAATATCTTCATGGTTTATTGTTCTTTGATCAGCATGAAGTGGCCATCTTTGTCTCTTCTGATTAGTTTTAGTTTAAAGTCTATTTTGTCAGATATTAGAATTGCAATGCCTGCTTTTTTCTTCATATGATTCACTTGGTATATTTTATTCCATCCTTTCACCTTAAGGTAGTGCCTATCTGTGAAAGTGAGATGAGTTTATTGCAGATAACAAAAAGATGGGTTTTGTTTCTTAATCCATTCAACTAGTCTGTATCTTTTGTCTGGGGAGTTCAGTCCATTGGTATTTAAAGTTATTAATGAAAGACATATATTGAATCCTGTCATTTTTATTTCTGTTCACCTTCTCGATATAGCTGTGCATTTCCACATTTATACCTTCATTGAATTTCTTTCCTTCACTCCTTGTATATAGTTGTTCCTTTCTTCTGCTCTTTGTATTGCTTCAAGAATTATCTGAAGGGCTGATTTTGTGGACATGAATTCTTTCATCCTCTTTATGTCATGGAAGATTCTTCTTTCCCCTTCAACTATGATAGACATTTTGGCTGGGT